TGATATTCTTTTCTTTATACATCCAAGGATCATGCTAATCCTTAGGCCATATCATTGAGCTAGATGCTGCTATTGAGCTAATTGTTGACTATGGCATCCCTCCACCTTTTTCAGAGTCACTGCTTCCCAGTATAGAGTTCCTCAGCCCATAAGTTGGGTCTGCGTTCCTTGTTCCTAGATGTATGCCTTTGAATTAGGCTGTATTAAAACACACATTATTTGCATGTTTTCAGCTTACCCAGCAATACTCTGGGTAAGTATTGCTGGGTATCAATGACTTGTTCTCTTTATTATTTATCACTTTCATGGCCCGCTTCATATGAAATCTCAAAACCATATGAACAATAAATATAGGGATTATATTTATAGAGTGTTACGCTATATGTCAAAGTATCACAATAATTGCCCATTTACAATTACATTTTGAGATTTACTGGGCAATTTTTAATCTACTTAAAATTACATTTATTATTTTGTTTTACTTCACTCTGTCCCATACGTGTTTTAATGATACCAAGAATATGCAGAAGCTTGAGAAATGCACTTTGGGACAAGTTTCTGAAGTGAACAAAAGCTTTCCCCTTAGAATCATAGGCTGGAAGAGACCTCCGGAGGTCATGAGTCCAGCCCCCTCCCTAAAGCAGGAGCAATTTCAACTAAATCATCCCAGCCAGAGCTTTGTCAAGTCAAGATTTAAAAACTTCTAGGGCTGGAGATACCACCACCTCCCTAGGTAACCCATTCCAGCACTTCACCACCCTCCTGGTGAAATAATTTCTCCTAATATCCAATCTAGACCTCCTCCACTGTAATTTGAGACTCTTGCTCCTTGTTCTGCCATCCATCACTACTGAGAATAGCCTCTCTCCATCCTCAGTAAGTTGAAGGCTGCTATCAAATTCTCCCCCCCCCCCACCCCTCTCTTCTGCAGACTAAATAAGCCCAAATCCCCCAGCCTCTCCTCGTAGGTCATGTGCTCCAGCCCCTTAATCATTTTGGTTGCCCTCCACTGGACCCTCTCCAATACATCCACATCCTTTCTGTAGTGGGGGCTCAGAGCTGGATGCAGTACTCCAGATGTGGCTTCACCAGTGCAGAATAAAGGGGAACTTGCTTGGTTTGTTTATAAACAGCTATTTCACTAAAAAAATTAATTCTGGGCTAAGAAACTTCAACAAGAAGGATTTTTTAAAATGAATTTCTTTTTAAAGACATCTGTGTAACTGAGAAGTTGTTTTTTGGGGGGGTTTTCTGAGAGCTGACAAGGATGGATTTAATTCATATCGGGAGTAACTGACCTTTTACAGGACAGTCAAATGTTTAGCTATCTTGCAAGATTTTCCTCAGTGGGTGGTGTGAGGGGGTCTGGGTTTATTTGAGGTGCACTAGAGTTGTGCTTGGAAAAACTCGAGTTGATTAACTGGTACCTGATGAATGTAGATTTGGAACCACAGAGTAGGTTGTGGGGTTTTTAGTACATGTGTGGAGGGGTCATCACAGGAAAAGAAAAAAAATGTGACTGAAAACAGACTTTTAGATGTAAAGTGCCATCTCAGTCTTAACTTAATTGTTCAATAAATCCTCAGCCACAACAGCATTATAGTTACAATGTGGGTAACACCTTAAACTAAACATATATTCACATCCTGCACTATGTGGAGTGTTATATATCATATAGTATATGACCATGTCTGTATTTGTAATGTGCTACTGTTTGCAATCATATATATAGTAGCCCAGTGTTTGTGAGTCTGTAAGGCTGAAATGCTGGCTGTACCCTCTAGGGGGCGCTGTTGCCTGAAATGCTGGCTGTTCCCTCTGGGCAGCCTGTGCCGCATGGGGAGTGCGGGGCCCAAATGGCCGCTTGCTCTACTTGCTCCCCCGCGGCGGCCCGGCTGAATGGCGCAGAAGTCAGCCGAGTGCCACGGTGGGAGGCGAAGGGGGGAGGGGCGGTGACATGCGGCGTGACAGCAGCTCCAGGCCCCGCCCCCTGGCCGGGAACGTCTGACAGTGGCTCCAGGCCCTGCCCCCTGGCCGTGAATGTCACTGCCCCCCTTCGCCTCCCATTGTGGCACTCGGCTGACTTCTGCACCGCTCAGCCAGGCCGCCGCATGGAAGCAAGTGGTGCAAGTGACCGTTTGGACTCTGCGGTCCCCCGAGTGAGGCAGGAGGGTGAGGAGAAGAGAAAGAGAGAGACAGAGAGAGAGGAAGGAGGCGGGGGTGAGCTTAGAGAGAGAGATGGGGGGAGGCAGGAGGAGGAGGAGGAGAGAGAGAGAGAGCGGAGGCTCAGGAGAGAAGACCGACGTGGAGGAGAGACCTGAAAATTCTGTTTTATGACGGGCTAATTGGTTAGTTTTAAAATAAACACAGAACTTCAAACATTCTTCAGTTCTTAGCCCATTTAATTAGATGGGTTAGGGTGACCAGGTAACCTCTTTTAAAAGGGACAATCCCATATTTAAACTTTATTGCAGATCTCTCTACTTTTTTCTTTCAAATGGAAAATTGTCCCACGTTTTCTGTCTTCTCCCACCCCCCGCCCTCCAGTATTGGCAGGTCTTGCTGCTGGCTGGATCCCTGCTCCCCAGCCACTTGCCTACAATTGATTGCTCTTGAACTTGTTTGAATATGATAAACTTTACCAGATGTCTTGTATTCAGCATACGGAAATACGGTCACCCTATGCAGAGCCATCACTACCAATTCTGCTGCCCGAACACTCCCCATGGGGGGATATCTGGGGAGGGAGGACTGTGTGCAAGGGCTGCTAGGGCAGAAGCTGTGGGGGACAGTGCTGACCTGACGATTATTACTCGTAAATGTGACCTGCACATTGTAAGCATGTTTTGTTTTCTTTTTAATAGATTCTTTCAAGGTCCCCCCTGTGCCACCAGCAAACCACGTGATCACTGAGCCAGGGGAAAATGTAACCCTTAGATGTCCCTTCAGGGTTGGAGGTTTGGTGCAGCAAGTAACATGGGAACGGATAAAAGTGGATCGGAGAGATACCGTAGTCCTGTGCAATTTGTCAGAAGGGAAAACCTACGGCTCAGATTACCAGGAGCATGCCATCATAGACTGCGCCCCTCAGAAGAGCAGCATTCTTGTCCTTCAAAACGTTTCAGCTTATGACTCTGGAATTTATCGCTGCCATTACAGTTTAACTAATGGTGCAAACAAAACCCATGTGATGAGCTTGACTGTCACTAGTGGTAAGTTGAGAAGTGACGGGGCTGATGGTTTCACAAGTGGGAACTCTGTGAATTGCTAATGTCTTCCCCTACACATAAATACTTGTAGTTGCTAAGTGGGCTTCTCGTATGTCATGTGCCAACTAGCCGTGTGTCCTGAATAGTGGGATATGGTGGTTATTGTGGCTTCCACAAAGCTGGGCTGACGGAGCCTGGCTGGTTTTTCAGTGTTACTTTTACAGCTGTCTCAGGGGAGCTGGTGACTGACTATATGGCAGTGAGAGGGGTGATTTGAAATGGGGAACATGAGTGAAAGGCAGTTGCCTAAGGCTGATAAAGGGAGTCTCTAGCTCCATTCAACGTGAATCCTGGGAACTTCCCAAGCGTGCATTCCCTGGAGCAGGGGCACTAGGATAGGTTTCATAGTGGGGCTGCTGAGAGAGCCACTGAATCAAAGTGTGATGGAAACCACTTCAAGCCAGGGAATGCAGCATTCTTAGTCTAGTGCTGGAGTGCGCTATGCTGCGTTCCAGAAGCATGATGCATTTTGAGTTGTAAATATTTGTAATGCTCAAAAGTGCAGTTTGGCTGGAGTGGGAAGATATGAAAAAGTGGCTGTCACAATACACGTTAGGTACTTGTTTCTTTACATTCAGTTGTTTTACAAATGAATATTGTATTGATACCATCCCTATTGTAAAGCTCATGACATGTGCCAGACTGACAGTTGTGCTTGCTGAATCTACTCATTATCCTTGGAACAGTCAAAGCACACACAGAAACAGTGTGGGATCCCCGCATTGCCTTAGGCCTTTCAAGGTAAAAAGATAGCTTGGTCATGCTAGCATCTCCACTAATTGTACTGATGATGGGGGCATACGGCCACCACCACAAAAATGGAGACCACAAAAATCATTTATTCTAGCCCACTGAAGTAGTTGTGTGATAACAACAAAGCCTGGCTGCTCACTGGCGTTCTAATGGGAAATACGCCATGCTCCATTGTCAAAGTGTGGCGCTAGGCAGGTGCAAAATAAATGTACAGTAAAAAAAAATCAAAATATATTTTTTTTAATTCTTTTAAGAACTAATCAATTGTTATACAGTCTTTTCATGCTCAGAAACTATCAATTGAATTCACAGCCAGGAAGAGAAAACAGTGCAAAGTGTTAATTATGATGTATGTGAGATTAAAGAGAATACATGTGGGAATATGGAAACATTTTTCACTGATTTGTTTGTAACAGTCTCTTTCTCTCTAACAGAAAATCTACCCATTGAAAAAAAATTCTTGTGTGTATTTGTAAATTAACTCACTTTTTACTGTATTTTCCATTTCCTTATACCACAGAAATCCTTTAATGCTACATTCTAAATAATCCTGTTGCAGTTTTGATTTCTACTTTAAATCTGCTTTGAAGGACTCACAACTCATTTTAGGGTGTTTAGAGCATGTTTTGAAAGTATAACTTCGCTTGAGTTTTCCAGATTCCACTTTTCCCATTAATGTTTAAAATCTTGCTGTTAGGTGCTTTTAAAGGTACTGTTTTTTCTTTGTCATAACTAAGCATTCTGGATGTTCCCTTTCTAGGACTAGACAACTTTTTTTTTTTAACAGAAATAGTATCTATGACATAGTCAGAATCCTTTCAGAATGATTACTCCAAAGGGTGTTTGTTAGGTGGTAGAAACAGGAAAATGAACTGGGCATATTAATGTGCATGCCTAACTTGAGGAGTCGATTGTTTAATGGGAGGCAGAAGGGAAAGAAGCTTTTTGAATCTTAAATTTATTTTGACTTTAAAAATGTTTACCTCATGCAATAATAATCAAACTTGTATACCTAAAACTGTCAAACAGGCCTGAACCTGATAGTCATTGGGAAATTTTCTAGATACTTCAAGTGCAATAGTATATATAGACACACCCCCCCCCCAAAACAAACAAACAAAAACAGTGAAATGGACCAGTCTACCCCTCTTTTAAAACTCTCTCTCCCAACCTGAAAGTTGATTCATAGAATACTAGGACTGGAAGGGACCTTGAAAGGTCATCGAGTCCAGTCCCCTGCCCTCATGGCAGGACCTAGTACTGTCTAGAAGACTATCCCTGATAGACATTTATCTAACCTACTCTTAAGTATCTCCAGAGATAGAGATTCCACAATCTCCCAAGGCAATTTATTCCTGTGTTTAACCACCCTGACAGTTAGGAACTTTTTCCTAATGTCCAACCTAAACCTCCCTTGCTGCAGTTTAAGCCCATTGCTTCTTGTTTTAACCTCAGAGGCCAGGAAGAAGTTTTCTCCCTCCTCCTTGTGACACCTTTTTAAATATCTAAAAACCGCTATCATGTCCCTTCTCAATTTTCTCTTTTCCAAACTAAACAAGCCCAGTTCTTCCAGTCTTCCTTCATAGGTCAGATAGTCAACCTTCTATAGCTTTAAAATCCCTGACAAGTTTTACACTGTCAGTATACATTGATTTCTGTTCTAACCATTCTTGTTTAATGGGGGAAAAAAAGTTGAAAGGCTGTGACTACAGCACAATACAATTCAGTGTCTGCCAAGTCCTCTCCCCCTTAAATATACACACTGAAACATTACATGCAAAACTGTGCACCTGTTATAATAATTAGAGGACATATTTTTATTTAAATGTTTTCCCAATTTTGGGTTTTTTTCAGAAGTGTCACAGTGCACAATGAATGAATGAGAGAATGAGGGAGAAATATTAACTGAGAGGGGAAGAGAGAACTGATGTCATTTCTGAACATAATAATGCTAACTGGAAAATATAATACCAACTAAATATACAAGATAATGGGGTCCACATTAGCAGTTACCAATGACACAACAAATCTTGGACTCTTGGTAGATAGTTCTCTGAAAACATATGATCAATATGCTGCATCAATAAAAAAGCTAAAATTATTAGGAACTAGTAGGCATAGAAAATTTTTAAAAAAATATCATAATGCCACTATATCAATCCATGGTACAGCCACATCTTGGAAATGGTGTGCAGTTCTGGTTAGCTCATTTAAAAAAAGATATATTAGTATTGTAAAAAATATAGGAGGGGCTTCCGCTGATATTAAAAAGTCTAGGACTATTCAGTATAGGAAGATCTAGTTGAAAGGTGATATGATAAAATCCTGAATCTATAAAATTATGACTCATGTGGAGAAAGTGATTTAGGGAAATATTATTTACCCCTTCATGTAACACAAGAACTAGAGGTCATCAAATGAAATTAACAAGCAGCAGTCTTAAAACATACAAGAGGAAGTACTTCCCACACTGCACAGTCAACCTGTGGAACTCATTGTCAGGGCATGTTGTTAAGGCCAGAAGTGTAAGTGGCTTCAAAAAAGATTTAGACAAGTTCCTGGAGGATAGTTAGGGATGTAACTCCATGCTCTGAGAGTCCCTAAGGGTACGTCTTCACTTCCTCCCTAGTTCGAACTAGAGGTGCAAATGTAGCCAACCGAAAAAATGAGGAATAACGTTAGTCAAGCCAAGGGGTTTGATACAAACTAATGAGTCCCGGAGTGCACTTCCTGGTTCAAATCAGCTGGAGAGTGGAATAGTGAGTGGGTGAAATTATGCTAATGAAGCACGGGATATTTAAATAGCATCCCTAGTTCGAACTAGGGAGCAAGTGTAGACATACCCTCGGACACTGACTGCTAGATGGTAGGAATGTGTATGACAGGAGATAAATTGCCCTGTGCTTTTCTGTTCCCTCTGTTGAAACCAGCACTAGCCATTGGTAGAAGACAGGATACTGGACTAGATGGACAATTGTTCTGACCCAATATGGCCATTCTTATGTTAACATTCTGAGAGACATGGGAAGCCAACAAAAACTGCAGCCAAGGTCAAATTTAGTTACAGGGCATCCCCACTATAAGTAGCCCGGGTATACAACCATTGCACATGAAAAGAGCTGATGCTTGTAGAAACTGATACATTATAAATCCTCACATTCCCTGCTCTTAAGTCACGTGCAAAAAAATTGCACAAATGGAAGTCAAGACGCATGAGAGAAAATCCCCGCTTTAGGTTATTTCGCTGTAAGTCCAAGTTTTTTAGAATGTGTCTTGGACTTACAGTGAGGATGGCCTGTTCTGGGCCTGGTTCAGCACTTGTCTTGAAAGAGCCAAGAAAAACAATGTATTGCTAATCATGACTACCTGATGTAACATTTTATGCATTTCCTTTTCATATCCATTTAGTCACCTAGTTTGGCTTGGCTTTCATTTGGGGCTACAGAGCCAAGTAATAGTCCTGGATCTCCTATTTAATTCCTTACCATTTCTTCCTGATCTGGAAGTGGATTAAAACTTTGAGAGGTACAGTACAAATATTGCAGGCAAGAACTGGATATAGAGTTAGTAGAGAGAAGCTTTTGAGTCTAGGAAACGGTGGGGGGAGGGGGGAGGAAAGTAGAATTGTAAGTAGCGATAGAGAGGGATTCAGAGGAAAGATTAGAAATACAGTTTTGCAGAGTCTGAGTTTGATGGTTGACCATTGTAGAGAAAACTTATAGTTTGAAAATTTTGGAGATGGAAAAACTGAACCAGAGGAGCCTCAAACAGGGACAGAGAAATACATATGGGAGTCATTTGCAGAGCTGAAACTATAGAAAAGTTGCCACTTTCCTAAGTGTGCATTTCTTCATCTCTTTCTGCAAACAGAAATCACACCATGCAGTTCTGATCAAAATAAAGAAGGAAACAAGAAATGTAAGAAAATACACTAAGGGTGGGGAGAGGGGTACAAGAAAGTATTTATACGTTTGTCATTAGAAGACTGCATGCTGCAGCTTGACATTTTATCTGGTTCCTCTGGCCCCAGCAAGGAACTGCCATGACTTGGGGAGAGGCATGCAGCTCAGAATCCCGGTGTAGGACTTATTAGGCAGTCATGCAGCTTAGTCTGTGTCTAGACTGTAGGGTTTTTTCGAAAAAAGTAGACTTTTTTCGAAAAAACTTCACCTGCGTCTAGACTACAGCCG